CCCTAGACAAGTGGACCAGGCAGGAAACAGACCCCAGCCTGACTCTTTAATTATTTCTGGAAGGCTTTGATGGGAGTTGAGGTTGGGGGCAATCTACAGTTTGTCTCTCAACCAGCCAGGGCAGTGCAGGAACTATGTGGTGTAATTTTCCCATTTATAGAGCAGGAAACTGAGGTCCAGAGCATCTTCCAAAAGCAGTCAGAATCCAGTGTGTCTCCAGACCATGTCCTGGGATGCATGAGGGTTTACTACTCCCCCTGAGGTCTATGGGTACCTGGTGCAGGGCACAACCTCAGAAGATAGGCCTGACATGGGTGAGAAGCCAGCTACAGCCCAAGGGCAGGAGGCTCTGCTCAGAGCAGCTGGGCACCACACTTGGGGACCACCCTTGGGGCCCTTCTCCCACCCCAGAGCCAGGCTCTTGCCAAATGCATAATTGGCATGAGGATCCTCATAGGCCCAAGCCCAGGGGAGGTCAGGGTTGAGTCAAAGTAACCCCAGCACTGGGAGGGCCACCTACTGGGCACAGGACTCACCCTGTTGCTCTCCCAGGGTGAGGAGTCCCCTGTGCTGCCTCCTGTATCAGATGTTGCATTTGCTGCCTGGGTTGAGAAGAGTGCCAGCAGCCTCAGATCTGGGCTCCCCGCCAGTGCATTAGCTAGCAGCCAGCAGGCTTTGGTGGAGACATTGTCATTTACTCAGACCTTGGCACTGAAGGAGTGAGATGGCAGAAGCTGCTGTTTGGCTGCACTGTGAAGCCAGGCCAGAAGCCCATGGAGCTCAGCAGCAGCAGAGGTGCTGCAAACAAAATACAGCTGGGGCCATAGCAGCCCCTACTCTCATGCCCTGGGGTCTTCACTGGGCAAGACCAGTGTGGGCCACTTTGAGCTAGGGTTACTTGGGTAGTGCAGTCCTGGGCCTAGGCAGTCTGCCTAGGAATTGTACTCAGGTCCACTGTTGGTGGATGGGCCAGACTCTGTCTTCACCTATTGCTATGGATGTGCTGAAGTAGCAGGAGTGGTTCAACTGCTGCCCAAGTGTCCAAAGTAGCTAGTGAGCTCCACATTCATTCCTTCTCATTTTGCTTACAGAAGGTGTGTCATGGAAATCAAGCAGTTCAGCCAAAAGGAGAACCTCATTGGCAAGTCAGAGGGTCAACCAGGCAGGGGCAGCTGAACCACTTTGCTCCTGCCAGGGGGCGTGCCCGTGCCTGGAACATCTTCCGCTCACTTTGTGCTGACCCTCTTGGTCTCCAGGCTGCTTAAGGAGGTTGCATCCTGGAGCCTGGGTAAGTGAGTGATCCTCATATCCTACCAGCACTCCCATGGCAGACTGAGGCTGGTCCTCAGCTGACCTTCTGAACGAGTTGGTTCTCTCTGCAGCAGGTAGAAAGGTTCCCTGCCCTACACAAGGAGTCAAACCACCTGGAAGGTGTCTCGCAATGGACTCATCTCTGCCTTGCTCCCTACTTGAGACATGCATGCAGAGAGGATCTGAGGATCTCACTGTGGCCTGGAACCAAACTTCCTGACTTTATTTTTGTCTTCTGAGCCAGCTGCCCTCAGCTGCTGGGGGCACAGGTATGGTTGCAATACAGGAAACCTGGGATTGAAGGGTTAAGGACACAGATAGAGCAGGTATTGCTAAGATTTATTTTCTCTTCTCCTCTCCTCTCCTCTCCTCTCCTCCCCTCTCCTCCCCTGTCCTCCCCTGTCCTCCCCTCCCCCCTCCTTCCTTCTCCTCCTTCTACTCCCATCCTCTCCTTTTTTCTCTCCTCTTCTCTTCTCTTCCCTTCCCTGCCCCTCCCTTCCACTCCCTTACTCTTCTCTTCTCTTCTCTTCTCTTCTCTTCTCTTCTCTTCTCTTTTCTTCTCTTTTCTTTTCTTCCCTTTTT